TGAAGGATTGATAGAGCCTTTGAAGATACGGTTTCCGATGAAGGTTTCTTCCTTAAAGCTGTCGTGGTTTTTTCCGAAATAGGTTTGTTACAGAACAAGCATTTATTGTTTGGAGTAGCTTTCGGTCTCACGGTGGTGGTGAGTTGTGGAGGTTTAAGTTACGGGAATTAAAACTAAAAGCCCTCCCGGAGGAAACTGGCATACCGTTTTGTGAGTCTGTGAGTAGTGGCCTTTGCTGGGCTTTCCAGGTGTGTGGGGGAGTTTGCTGTAGCGGTACTGCGTCTTGAGTTTTTAAATTTTTGAAGTGGATGTGCCTACAGCTCTGTCCAGCCAGGTGCCCTCAGGGCAAATCTTAAGCTTAGGAAACAGCAGACCAAACACATCCTGCAAATCTGTCTTGGACTTAGTGAAATTGGGCTGGGAAAGTACTTTGAAGTATTTTGGAGTAAGTGTTACATGGATCACCGAGCTTTTATGATGGCTTTGTTGCTTGAAGCAGTTCTGCTCATTTTAAAAGCCCGGGCTTCACTTTCTCGAGCTACTTGTTGGTTGAGCTGTCTCTCTGCTTGTGAATTCTTTTTCTGCATCCCCTTCCGTCTCGCGCGCACACCCCGCCCGCAGCTCAGGAGCGAGCGTCAAGCTCATTTGTGCTGCCCGGTGCACTGCTTGGAAGCTGTTTTTTCTGATCCAGCCAGTGATACAGTGAGGTTGGTAGACGCCGTTCTGACTGCGCTGCCAATTGCTGAGGCCTCCACCGGGCAGGTAACCCCTACGGAATCTGCAGGGGTCGTTGCATTTAAAATGCTTATTTAGTTTTGTCAAGGTTTTCGCCTAGGTGGGAATCATATGTTGTCCTGCTGGCATTTAAGCCCGACTATTTCAGTTCTGTTTCGTTTCCCTCTTTTCATCTGTCATTCAGTGCTTTTGAGTGAATGGTTCTGTCAGTATCTTATATTGGCCATTTCAGTGCTCGTTGTGGGTGTTGGGGTGGGTTTTTTCGGTGGTGGTTGTAGAAGATTGTGTAGTTGAGCAAAATTTGTTTTGCTTGAAGTGGTGATAAATAGTGACGCTGAGGTAACCCTTAATCATGTATACAATTAACCTAAGACAGTCTCATAGAGATTTCGTTGCTTTCCTCACTAAAGGAAAGTTGCGGGAGTTAAACCATAGCACAGCATTCAATAAGTTTTGTTGAATCTTTGTTCAACAGCTGACAAAGACTCTCGCTTTGCATTGAGAAATTCAGTTGACAAATATCTCGATGTCACTCGTCTGAACTACTTTCAGTACGATACTGTTTGCATCATGATGCCAAATATATCCTTAATAGTGAGCTAGACAAAGACTTTTTGGATTTTGTTTCTCATTCGAAATGTGTAATTTTGAGGATTGGAAATTTGACTAATTCCCGTTTCTCAGAAGCAAGGTATTTTAGGTTGTGCCACATTGACACTATGACGTGGCATAGCTGACATCCAGAAAAATTTGTTTTAACCACGAGTTTGAATGAAAACTAGGGTAACACTTACATATGTAAAGCCAAGATGGTAGACAGTTGGGTTCTTGGGACATAGGTCTTGATAACATGCTACTGCAAACTATGTCAGAGGTCAGATCCGTCACCACCAGAGGCTGATGGTAAAGAGGGTCTGTCGTTATATCTTAATGAGGCTCAAGTTGGCAGTAGTTGTAAATACCTTTCAGTGTAGGGTCTGTATTTCATTCTTTACATTTTTTACGAGAGTTTGTTGCAGTTTGGAAAACTTGTAAATGTGTTGGGCTCATCTTCTTTTTGCTTTTTGTACTTCCAAGGTTTAGGGTTGTGCTTTTCAGTCTCTGCTGCACCTTGAGATCTATCAGGGAGCTTTACAAAATACTGACTCCTGAGTCCCACTCCCAGAAATTATGATTCGGTTGGTCTGGGGTGCAGCTGGGTCAGAGCTCCACGGTTGTTGAACCAGTAGGGTCCTCCATTTTTTCATTACATGCACACCGTAGTCCTTTCACACATCTAACTTAATGGGTCTTTTGAAGGTGTTGCCACGTTGGTTTTGCTTCCGAGCCTGTCTGTGTTCTCCTTTTTCCTCTCTTCTTTCCCCACTTCCTGCCTCCTGCCCCCCCTTCATTTTCACTTCTTTTGGACTGTCTCTTAGCAAGTTTTAGAAAGCTATATTTGCCCTGATAAATTGGTATATCATCACTATTTTAAATAGGAAGTTGGTCTTCTTTTAAACAAGTATACTCTCAAATGTTTGTGCTCCTTTTAGAGACTAACAACTTTAAGTGCTCAAATTAACATCCAAACTCCCAATGGAGTTTGGTCTTCTGAAGGAATTAGTCTCCTTGGAAGCCATAAAAATTTCCAGCCACCAATCAGCTGGTCACTTCATTGGTGCCTAACAGGCAAGTTGAGTTGATTCAGATTTTGCCGTCAGGGCTTGCTGTGAGGTGGTTGCTCAGCTAGCCAGTACTTTCAAAAGATCATCTAGCGGCATGCTCAGTTCTCCATTTACACCACCTGAAATACTTCCCGAGTGCTTGTCTGCAGAGTAGATGCATCTCTGTCTGTTGCAGAGCTGTTGAAAAAAACACAAATACTCTTTGATCTTCGATTACAAAAAACATGGATTCAGAATGGGAACGGAGTAGAGGAGGCATGGGAATCTGTATAAAAAATCACCTCTTGATTTTAAAGGCTTTTTTTTTTTAGCATGCTTGTCCTTATTGCTTCATTTGTTTCAATATATTGCAGGCTTTACTCTTCAGTACACTGGAGTAGTTTACTTAACAGTCTGTCGGACCCCAGTTTTACATGATTTGAGTGTAAATCTTATTTATGATTTAAACTTGGAACTGCTACTGAATATTTTTGTAGTAAAGTATGATTTCTCCATCTTAATGTGGATGAGGGCATGCAATTCCAGCCTTTTTCAAATAAAAATTTATTTCCAAATGTAAAAGTGATTTAAAGGTATTTATCGGTAATATTCATTAGTGATTTCTAGAGCACAATAAGATTAGATGGCCAATTATTGTGATAATTGAATCATCTGTTGAAAGGATCACTGGAAGTAGTTTTTAATGGGGTAAACCAAGCCTGGAATCATTGTACATAAACATGCTAGGTGCATCTGTATCATAAACCGGTTGAAGGAAGAATTTTATGTGTAGAGATTTTAAAATGAAACACCTGTTTATTGTAAAGAGAAATAGCACAACTTCTGTGTAATTAGTCTTTTAGTCAATTGCACATATCCAGTGTCTGTTTTCCTGTCTTTTTGGCAATTTGTAAAGTGGAGCTTGTAGACTGGACCAGGGCTTTGTAAAACTGATAGCACATCAGACTTGTGGGGATGCTTTTTGAAGGTAGGGCCCCACCCTGATAGCCTTTTTTTTTTTTTTTTTGAGTTGGAGTCTCACTCCGTTGCCCAGACTAGAGTGCAGTGGCCATTCCCGGCCACCTCAGCCTCGACTTGCTGGGCTCCGGCGATCCTTCTGCCTCAGCCTCCTGAGTAGCCAGAATTACAGGCATGTGCTACCATGCCTGGCTGATTTTTTGATTTATTGTAGAGATGAGGTCTTGCTGCCCAGGCGGGTCTCGAACCTGTGGGCTCCCTGATAGCTCTTGAGTAGGGGTGAGGTGGTCTGCAGGGGATTTTCAGTTAGTGTCACTAAGGTTCAATTTCGTTCCTGGTCTTTTAAAACATGGCTGCCAAAGTGCAACCCACCCATCCTCCCCAGGACCTTATGTTCAGGGGTTCATGAAGTCACAGTTGTCTTCATCATAAAACCATGACGTCATTTGTGCTCTCAGTGTGTTGACGTCTGTTGGCATGGTGAAGAAGCAGTACACTGCCGGCACTTGAGCACCAAACATTATCAGGCCTTACTGTGTTTTTTACATCCAAACACATGTTAAGCATTTGAAAAAATGCCAGTTTCACTTAAGAATGCTCTTGATGAAGCGGTGATAAGTTTTAATTGTTAAAAAGTCTACCCTGGAGTGCATGTCTTTTTATTTTTTTTAATTAATTAATTTATTTTTGAGTGGGAGTCTCACTCTGTCGCCCAGACTGGAGTGCAGTGGCCGCTCCCGGCCACCGCAGCCTTGACCTG